TTACACTACTTGCACCACTTGCATGCTTTATGTCAAAACTCACAAATCAACACACACATCACTCCTTTCCCTCTCCAAAACCGGCCACTCCCTCAATGGGAGTACTTTTGGGGCTTTTATGCAATTACATAAAGTTTTGATACTTTTGTGTATTTGCACTTTGGCCCAAAAGTTTACGTTTTTACGTTTAGGTCCACAAACGCTAAAGGACAAATTGTTTTGCTCCTTTAATGAAGTTTTTGCATTGTTTAAATTTTGGGTTCTAGTTGTAATTACATGAAGTAGTGGACTTTTGTGTTTTTACAAAGTGACCCCAAAAGTTTATGTTTTTGCAATATAGCCCAAATGCCAAATGTTGTGGTAATTGCATATTGGCCCAAATTAGGTTGAGAGAACAAAATTGTTTTGTCTCTTTAAATGAGAATTGGATTTTCATTTCATTTAGCTCCATTTAAATCAATTTTATGGATACAAAAACCAAATGAAAATGTTGCATTCAATTTAATTAGTTAAAGTGTTAATTAATTAAAGGGTGATTATGAACCTAAGCCTACGATAATTGAGTTATGTGAAAGGCCGTTTCAAATTTGTTTGAACCATGGGAATGTGTAGATTAGATTTTGGTTGTAATTTGATTTGATCAAATGTTGTAAAAGAGCATAAGCTCTTCTTTACTTTAAAGTAATTTATTTTGATCAATTGTTGTAAAAGAGCATAATCACTTCTTTACTTTGAAGTACTCCTTTCTTGTATTATTTGATATGCATGAAAATGGAGTAGAGGGTCCAACGCCCCTAAGACAACACGCCTTAATGTGATTAAACGCGTAACTAAAATCAATCACCATCCCTAGACCGAGATTCAACACTAGGCTCGTGTTGAATCTAAACAAAGGTTCATAGTCATCCTAAGGCCCTAAGGCAACTATATAGTCCATCAATGAATGCAAACCTTATGTTAGTAGTATCATATACTCTTGCTTAAAAACCGTTTTATAAGCATAGTGGGAGTATTATATACAACTAAAACAATCAAATTGACCAATAGTTGTAATAGGACCAAAATTGTTTTAATTAGATTAAAATGTATGTTTATATGTGATGAGACCTAAAACCCTCAACCAAACCATTATTAAGTTGACAAGCGTGAGAGTGCTTTGAACACTTTTTCGTGGCCTTCCACCGTGGTAGGCTCCAATCGTTTATGACTTGTACACCGCCTTCACCCTATCATGGGGGAGTGCAAAGTGCATGCTTATACTCAGGAGGAGTTTATTTAAAACATTTGATGAGGTTAAGGTAGGCAACGAGTGTGGCCAACATCGTATCATCGTGAGGTCATACTTGAACCCGTATCTAAACCGGCATGGTGGGAAAGAACTTAACTAAGAGGAAATGGTGCCAACATCGTATCATCGTGAGGCATTGTTTTCTAGAGGCCAAAAAGATGGGTAATCACAAGAGGTTGTTGTGAATGAGTAAGCGTACTCTCTCATTATTATTAATGCTAGCCAACATCATATCATTGTGAGGTGGGCTTGGTAGTAGTGAGTCTCCCATACCCTACTAAGAGTTTCCTCCAAAAACTCTCGAATTCCAATGAGGGATATGGAATTTGCCAAAAATAGTGGGTGGTGCTATTTGATTTAAAGACCCGAATCAAATAGCTTAAAATCAATCAATTTATATTCGTTATGTATTTGTTTACCAATATATTTGCAAACGTTATCCAAAACTTGACAAATAAAAGTCGAAAGCTTTAGTTTCCGGACTTGGTACTACAAAACCATAGATTGTCTTTAATGGCTTGTAAATGTACCTAAGTAGTCTCATCCTCACAATCTTCCTATTGATAATGTACCATTGGAGAAAATGTTAGATAAGTCTATCATAAGGAGGACAACACTTTTAATGTCATAATTCTTCACTTACAAATCGTTGTATGAAGAAATAAGAGTTGCTTTGAACAACCCTTAGTCAATGCAAACATTAGTGCTTGTTTCTTTGTTAAAAGAACAAAGAACTTAAGAAGAAAGCACAATGGCATGGACACTTTATGTGCCATGATTCTTCACTTACAAATTGTTGTATGAAGAAATGAGAGTTGCCTTGAACAACTCTTGAAAGTTTGTAATTATGTTTAGAACATAATGGTTGGTTGACAAAAATAGTCCATCAACATGGACTTATGATGATTTTGAATCATTGAGTGTTGAAGTGTTAAACCACTTAACGAGACGGAAACTAGGCTAGGACTTCACCTTATCTGAATGGTGGACGTAGTATGGACTTGATGAATCCATGCCGATGCTATTATTTTCATTTTTTTGTGGTGATGGTTGAGCAAGTGTGTCTGACATGATGTTTGGAAATAAGATGAGAGTTGAAAACGTGGGCAATCAGGCACCAGAACTCTATGCTCTGTATACCATGTTGAGATGACTGAACACTGAATAGGCTATGAGAATGGCAGATTGAATGCCTTGTTTATTACATTGTTGTACAATATATATACATCACAAGTCAACTATTCAACCCTACATTAAAGGCTAGGGAACAGTGAGCCATATTTAGTGGGATTTGACTCAAACCTATTCAGGTAAATATAATACAAGATATTTACATATAATACCGTATAATATTTCCTAATAGGTTCTACGGCTCCAAAGTTGTTTAACTAAATTGAAGGTGTCGTCAATTGTTAACACATTGATGTTTAACCAAATTGAATATATGTCAACCAGGAGGGGGGATGGGGGTGTGGGGGTTTAGTGAGCAGTTAGTGTTTTTTTTTTTCAAGGTGTGAGAGGATTTCACGTAAAGCGTTTTTTTCAACTATGTTAATTTTCATCCTCACATTATAGGAATTCAATATACTATTAGGACATTGAGCCTCAACTTCAAAAACATGAAATTTCATCTTAAACCCCAAAAACACAAACTAAATGAGTACTGATTAAATTACTTAAACAATCATTATAAACATAAAAGAAGAGAAATATCAAGAAAAATTTTCAATGTAACCTACGAGAAACTTTGTTGAGCATTAAGTTATTTTCCAAAGCCCAACGTTCAACCCAGCTCTTCAGTCTGTAGAAAAGAAATCCACCCAAACTGTCAATTTGAACCTTCAAAAATTTCAGCAATGATTTCGTCGAATTGGTTTTTGGACGAAGCAAGATACCAAGGCCTCTGAATACTTAAAATTATAGATAAATAAATAAAATAAAAATAAGCAGCCAAAACTAAGGAAGAAAGCAACACCAATACTGGCACCTTTGATTTGATCCTCTGGTAATCTATGAGATGCATAAGACAGAAGTCGTGAATTGTTTCACTTCGACAAAACTAAGGAAGAAAGCAACACCAATACCATCTTTGGATGTTATAAATTCTAAAGAAAACCCTAGAACTGCTTCAAGAATTGGAACAGATTGACCATATTCACAGGCCAACAAAGATACAAGGGCACCAAAAGGGTAGAAAAATCATCAAACTTATGAATTGACAAAACGAAAAAAAAAATTGCAAAAACTTGATTAATCTCCCTACATATGTGAACAATAATAAAGAATATAGGATTGTGTTTTGCTTACCTAATGGTGATTTTTCTGTAGATATTAGGGAGACTTTTGGCAACAATCTCATCCAAGCTTGGTAGACGCCATCGGCAAATTAAGAAAAGATTTCATTGTTTTTGTTATTGGCTCAAAGTCTGCAGGTAGTTTGTTTTCATGATTACAACTAGTTAGGGTTTATTCCATTTTTAAAATTTATTTTTAATTTTCCAGATTTTTTTTTCAGTTTTAATTTTTATCATTAATATTAGTTAAAATCCACTTAAGCATCTATGTCATTTAATGAATGAATATGGACCTTTGTAATCTAAAGGTTCAAAAGAAGTGTAAAAATATTTGTCAAAATGTATGTCCCTTGATCGTATCCCTACGCCCGCGCGCGCACACACACACACATACATATTAGCTCCAATAAGGGTAAAAAATAAAAAATAAAAACTAACACATCAACATTAGTGTCTAAAATATCGGTACCATGGGAATATCTATATACAAATTTGTGGAAATATTTATGGATATTATATATATATATATACACACACACACACACATATACATATTAGCTCCTATAAGGGTAAAAAAATAACTAATACATCAACATTAGTGTCTAAAATATCGGTATCGTGGGAATATCTATATGCAAATTTGTGGAAATATTTATGGATATATCGATATATATTGCCTTCGATGGAAATTTGCTAAAAACGTGAAAATTTAAATGAAACTTTACGGAATGTCATATGATAGTTTGTCAATACTTAACTGATATGTTGGAAATATCAACAAAATCTGATCGATTTTAGCCTAAATTTAAGAGTTTCTTCGATATGAGATGAAGTTTAGACTTCATCCCCTCTTTCCATATATTTCTCTGATTTTTTCAATTTCACCAAAATATCGACCCTTGATTAGCATTAGGATTTTCCGAAGTTTGAAAGAAGCAATTTACTCCATTTAGGAAGGTGCCAGACTAGGGTCAATCTGAAAACAAATCTTGCTTGAACACTTAATTTTTGTTAGCAGCTACAAAACCATATGCACAACTTACTTTTCTGGTTTCTAACTAAGTTAACCCTTGCTTAATGTAGTACATAATATATAATATAAACCTAAGAATCTAAAACCCATCTTGAACCATAAAACTAAAAATCCAGAAAACATTCCAATATGTTGATTAATTTTTGGTTAATTTCCTCTTTTAATTAAGTTATGAAATATCTGATTAAATTCACCATTGTTGAAACTTAAGGAAAGCACGATCAGTCATCACAACCCTATAATTGGCACAACAACATACATTGCTCACAAAATATAGCAAAACAACATTTCCAATTGAAAGGTCGACCTTAGATCTCTCCTGCCTAAAATTAAACCTCTATCTAACACACAGAAACAGCCCAATTGCGCTGTCATGCCACACTAATTAGACCTTGTCAATTTCACAGGCCATGGTTTCCTAAATTTCTTCCAATATCATCCTCTCCACCTCTTCCTCTTCTCTGGTTTTGGGCCCCTTCACGCCCACACTTTTGCACTTCCTCTTATTCCCATTCCCAATAAGCATCAATAACAAAACTAAAAACTCAGAGATAGAGAGGGGGGAAGGGGATTTAGTTTTTGCAATTAATTAGAAACCAGTTCAATTTCTGATTAATTAAGCTGGCGAACCCTTTACGTTTGTACTACAACAACATTGCATGGTAATGGGCGCGCATATGGCTATGGCTAAGCTTATGCGCGCACCAACCCCAGCATCCTTTATTACCCTCTTTGTTGCTTATCTGTCATGCATGGTCATGTTACCGTTTGGTTCACCAATGGATTCGACCACCGATGCCCTTTTGAAGTTCAAGAAAACGTTGCAATTGGGAAGCAAAACCGAGGTTCTTAGCAATTGGGATCCTAAGAAAAACCCGTGTAATGGTAACACGGCAAATTGGGTTGGTGTGCTTTGCTTTAATGGGAATGTCAGGGGTTTACAGCTCGAAAACTTAGGTTTACAGGGAAAGCTGGATTTGGAGCCTCTCGCTCAGTTGCCTTATTTGAAAACCCTAAGTTTCATGAACAACATGTTGGATGGTCCATTACCGGACCTTAAGAAATTTAAAAAGTTGAGGTCTTTGTATTTGTCTTACAATCATTTCTCTGGTGAGATTCCAGACGATGAATTTGAAGGTATGCACTTGTTGAGGAAATTGTATCTAGCAAACAATGCGTTTTCAGGCAAAATTCCTTCTTCCCTTACCACTTTGCCTAGGGTTTTCGACGTGGGACTTGAGGGGAACAAGTTTAGTGGCCAAATACCTGATTTTATGCAGAAGGATTTGAAAAGGTTGAATGTATCTCAAAATGAATTGGAGGGTCCAGTTCCACAAAGCCTAAAAAAGATGGATCCAAGTAACTTTGCAGGTGATTACTTATTATTGTTCATACGTTAGATTTGTTGCTATATAAATTTGACTGATTAATTTTGAATTGAAACTGAAATGTAGATGACATTAATTTTGAATTCAAAGTGAAATCGTAGTGGATGTGATCATCAAAGTTTTCCCATTACGATCATCATCTTTCATTTAAGGGAGTTTTAACGAAAAGCCCACGGTACTGTTCACTTTAACGAAAAACCACATTTTTACACTAAAAAGTCAAACCTGGTACTATTCACTTTACCCTTTATTTTGTCCTTATCATTAAAACTCAAAGTTTTCAAGCCTTTTTCATTAGTTTTCCTTTCATTTAAAGCATCACCATTTATTAACTTGGATCTAATTTTAACCAAAATGCAGGTAATGGAAAGCTATGTGGTCCGCCTTTTCAGGGAGCATGCAACCCCCATTCTCCTCCTCCTTCTCCACCTGCTGCTCCTCCTACGACTCCTGCCCCACCGCCTAAATGCACAGGGGACTCATGTGGCACGTCTAAGAAGCCGTCAGGTCTAAAAGTAGCCCTAATTGTGGTGAGTCTATTACTCCTACTGGCCCTCATTGCTGTGATTTTCATGTTCCTCAACAACAGAAAGCAACGATCAGAATTAGACGGGACTGAATCATTGGACGAGTCTTCCAAGTATACGGCAGCTGCAGGGAGCAGCCAAATGGATGTTAAATCAGTAGAAACTAACCCACATCCAAAGAGGGCGGACCAGGGAAAGTTGTCATTCGTGAGGGAAGACAGGCAGAGGTTTGATTTGCATGACCTTCTTAGGGCCTCAGCTGAAATCTTGGGGAGCGGGACATTTGGGGCTTCCTACAAGGCTTTGATCATGACTGATGCTGTGGTGGTCAAGAGGTATAAGCAGATGAACAATGTGGGTAGAGAGGAGTTCCATGAGCACATGAGAAGGCTTGGAAGATTGACACACGAAAACTTATTGCCCTTGGTAGCCTATTATTATAGAAGGGAAGAGAAGCTCTTGGTTTCTGACTTTGTAGAGAAAGGTAGCTTGGCTTCTCATCTTCACGGTGAGTTTTTTCCCTTGTGTCACAAATTAGCTTAAAATTAGCTTTCCTTAATTATGTGCATGCTTGGATGAGTACTATTATGATCCGCCTACCATATTTACTGACTAACATTTTTTATGATGTTTCTCATAAGATCCGGTGGCATCCACATACCTGACTGGGATGGTGATCGTTGAATATATATAGTACGAGTTGATTTATTAGTTCATAGTGAAATAACTTCATGGTGGGAAATTTTTGTTTTTACAGGCAATCATAATTCAGATATGCCTGTGCTTGATTGGCCAACACGTTTGAGAATAATCAAAGGCATATCAAGAGGATTGACATACCTCTACAGCACACTCCCTAGCTTGGTTGTACCCCATGGTCATCTGAAATCCTCTAATGTGCTTCTAGACGAAAATTTTGAGCCCCTATTGAACGACTATGCTCTACTCCCCGTGATCAACATGGAGCAAGCTCAACACTTGATGATGGCCTACAAGTCACCCGAATATGCCCAGCACCGGCGTATAACAAAGAAGACTGATGTATGGTGCTTTGGAATAATCATCTTGGAGGTGTTAACGGGAAAGTTCCCGGAGAACTACCTCAAGCAAAGTTACGATAGTAAGGCGGATTTAGTGAATTGGGTCAACGGAATGATCAAGGAAAAGAGGACGAGTGAAGTGTTTGATGTAGAAATGGGGAGAGTTGGGAACAGTAGAGGAGAACTGCTAAAGCTGTTAAAGATTGGAGTGAGTTGTTGTGAGGAGGATGTGGAGAGAAGGCTGGATTTGAATGAAGTTGTTGAGAAGATTGAAGAATTGTATGAGGGAGAAAGCGATGCAGATTACCGATCAAGTGTTTCTAGTGAAGGAGATGATTACACTTCACAAGTGGTGTGATTTGAGAAATGATAAGTGCTTCTTCATTCCAAGTACCACTGGCTGGTTGGGACTTGGGAATACCAATGTGTAAATTAGATGATATAATATGCAGGGGTACTAGGTTTCAGCTAGCTTCATTCGGAATGAACCATTCCCAAAAGTTGAAGCATGCATATGCAGCGAGAGATCTGAAATTAAAGAAATGAAGAACTAATTTGTTACTTTTGTTTTGTGTCATTATTCTTTGCTCCCATTTGTTTTCGATCAGGAAATGGGGTTGTGTTGTAGGAGTTGGGGGATGACATCTTGTATCATCTTGGTGTAATGGGAATTAATTAGTTGATGAAACTAGTTAGAAATGCTTTCTCTAGTTAGAAATGCTGTCTCCAAAAAATCAACATATTATTAAGTCCAATATTATCTTTTTTTCACTTTTATTTTTTTATACTCATTTTACATTTTTCTAAATATTAAGGATAATTAAAATCTTCTAATTTCTTTCATCTTTTTTGTTGCATTTTTTATTTTTGAATATTTGAAGATTGGTTTATGTTTAAGGGAGCCTTACATATATAGAAACAAAAACATATAATATATTTCAAGAAACTCCATTAGTTTTTAGACATTTTAAGGAGAGACAAAAACACAAAAACGACAAAAGCCTATCCCAATAAACATGGAACAATTTTTTTTTAAAATACCAGCCTTACCCTAAATAGTTCTTTTTGTTAACAGAGGCCAACACACACAACATAATGAAATTAATGTGTGTTATTAGCTCAACTACTTCTCAACTGTTTGTGTAGCATTACTTTCGAAACTATATGTAGAATCAGTTTGTATCATTTACTATTAGAATCAATCCAACCCTCCTCAATCATTTTTGTAGAATCTGTTTTGTATATTTTTTTTAGTGAAACGAGTGTAATCATTTTGTATACTTTCAACAAACTACATATATATCATCAGTCCAACTCATCCTCGATTATTTTTGCAAATCAATTTGATATATACATACATATATATATATATAATCAGTTTTGTATATTTAGTAGAACCTGTCCGTAAAGTTTTAGTACAATCATTATGTATACTTTCAATAAAACTACATACATGTCATCAATCCAACTCATCCTCGATCATTTTTGTAAAATCAGCTTCAAATATATGTAGGATCAAATTTTTTTAGTAGGACCATTTGTAAAGTTTTAGTAGAATCAGTTTGTGTACTTTCAACAAAACTACATATATGCCATCAGTCCAACTCCTCCTTGACCATTTTAACAGAATTAGTTTCAAACACATGTAGAATCAAGTTCGTATATATTTTTTGTAGAACTAGTTTGTATAGTTTTAGTAGAATCTGTTTATACACTTTCAACAAAACTACATAAATGGCGTCAGTCCAACCCGTCCTCGATCATTTTTGCAAAATCAATTTCAAACATACGCATAATGAGTTTTATATATTTGTTTAGTAGAACCAATTTAAATAGTTTTAATAGAGTTAGTTTGTACACTGTTAACAAAACTACATACATGTCAGCAGTTCAACCCATCCTCAACCATTTTTGCAAAAATATTTCAAACATATGTAGAATCAATTTTGCATATTTTTTAGTAAAACTAGTTTGTTTAGTTCAGTAGAATCAGTTTGTATACATTCAACAACTTTCATAAATGCCATAAGTCAAACCCCTCTTCGACCACTTTTGCAGAATCAGTTTCAAATATATGTACATTCAATTTTATATATTTTTTTAGAACTTATTTGTATAGCTTTTGTAGAATCAGTTTGTATCAACAAAACTACATACATGCCATCAGTCCAACCACTCCTCGATCATTTTTGCAGAATCAGTTTTAAATATATGTAGAATGATTTTTGAATATTTTTTAGTATAACCAATTTGTATAGTTTTAGTAGCATCAGTTTGTATCAACAAAACTACATACATGTCATCAGTCCAACCCCTCCTCGATCATTTTTGCAGAAACAGCTTCAAATAAATGTAAAATCAGCTTTGTATACTTTTTTAGTATAACCAGTTCATATAGTTTTAATAAAATCAGTTTGTATACTTTCAACAAAACTACATACATGTCTTCAGTCCAACCCCTCATTGACCATCTTTGCATAATCAGTGTAAAATTAGTTTTTTATAATTTTAGTAAAATCAATTTGTATACTTTCAACAAAACTACATAAATGTCATCTTTTCAAACCATCGCCAACCATTGCAGAATCAGTTTCAAATATAAGAAGAATCATTTTTGTATATTTTTAGTCGAACCATTTTGCATAGTTTTAGTAGATTCAGTTTGTATACTTTCAACTAAACTACATACTATTATCCAACTCCTATTTGACCATTTTTGCAAAATCAATTTCAAACATATGTAGAATCACTTTTGTATCGTTTTAGTAAAATCAGTTTCTATACTTTTCAACAAAACTACATACATGCCATTAGTCCAACCCATCATCGACCATTTTTGCAGAATCAGTTCCACATATATGCATAATCACTTTTGTATATATTTTTAATAGAACCAGTTCGTATAGTTTAGTATAATCAATTTGTATACTTTTTAACAAAACTACATACAAGTCATCAGTCCAGCACCTTCTCGACTATTTGTGCATAATTAGTTTCAAATATATGTAGAAATCAATTTTGTATTTTTTTTTTTAGTAGAATCAGTTTGCATAGTTTTAGTAAAATCAGCTTTTTATACTTTCAACAAACTACATACTTGCCATTAATCCAATCCATCATCGATCATTTTGCAGAACCAATTCCAAATATATGTATAATCAGTTTATACTTTTTAATGAGACCAGTTTGTATAGTTTTAGTAGAATCAGCTTGTATACTATCAAAAGAAAATCATTTAAAATATAATGATTAGCAAAGGAAGTTTATGAAATTTACATTTTTCGTACAACAAACATGCAACTTTGGGGGTGACTATTAAAGAGATCAACTCATACACATTTGTCCAAGTTTATATTCAACATAATTACGAACCACCAAAAAAATATAGCTAAGGAGGAAGTAGTATCTTGAATTAAATCCATTGGGTAGCACTGAATTTCCTAGTATATGATTACATCTAACAAGATTTCTACTATTAGTTCATAATATCCTTACTAACTCAGATAATGAAGAAATTTAGATATTTGAAACCATATATTCTCAATCAATCATATAGCTGAGCTAAATTAGTCTGATCCAATATTCAACACACATAGAAACTAAGATTTATTCTCAGTTATTTAATGTTGCAAAACAGTTGTAATAATCTTTACTCACGAAAAGAAAAGCAGATCGAACAACAAGCAATGATCATATCTATGTTCAGGTTTTGAACTAGAAAGAAAGTAGTATTGATCATATAAGAAATTTAACAACTGTTAATTACCAACTTATTTACAACTTAAAATTCTATAACTTGAAATTGGAAGTGCACGGACTAGTTGAGTTTTTAGTATGAATTGGTGATGATATAATTGAGTAGTCCAAATAGTTGCACATGCTAATTTGGTAAGAGAAAAATCCGAAACTTGATTAGAATGTCATTTATGAGTTGATAGCATTCTATATTTACCCTATTCTTAATTATAATTTATTTGTTATTTTGGTATAATATTGATACTTTGCTTTACCTTGGAGATAAAGTGATGAAACGGAGAAATTTTGGAATAATTCCAATTGAAGCGGGTTTGTAAGTCCTTGAAGTTAGTTGTGTCAAAATTCCAGGTTTTTATCCATGTCGTTTGTTCGTGGTGGATAAAAGAAGGCTATATGTGCAGCTTTTCCATATTGATGTTTATAGATATTTTGGGCAGTTTGACTATCAAGACGGTGTGGTGCTGATTTGGTCCAGAAACGTGGAGCATCTTTGATTGGGCAGATTACCTAAACAGTTAAGACTTAGGAATGTAATCTTTAAGTTATCTTATTTTATTTAGTTTCCTAGTTTTATAGAAGACCTTGTTTAGGTAGAGTTTAAAGAATAAAACACTATAAATATAGTGTAGCCATGTTTAAGGTTTCTCTACACACTACGTTGAAGAACTCAGCATAACTTTTGGATTTTGCACTTCAATTACAGGTTGTTTCCCATCTTTTTTTCTTGCTAATAATATTTTGGCTTTTCAAATATGAATACACGTAACTAATTCCTTTTTTTTTTCTAGGGCGAGGCTACGAGTCTTAGCATGAATATGTAGTTTCTTATCAGTTTACTTATGAAATGATGCATGATTGCTTGGATTTTTAATCACCGCTTGTAAACTATCTATATGTCTTAATGCTTGATCACTATTAGGATATTTAGACAAGTTATTGGATGCAATATGTTGGAATATCACCTTATAATTGATTAAGGCTTCTTGTGATTGATAATTCTAATTTCACTTATGGTGAATATCACGTTCTGAAAGGTTGCATGTTTTCAAAAGGTTTTCATAAAGCTTAATAAGTTTTGTATGTTCATACTTGATCCGAATATCACATGGATTGCATGTTAGATATATGTTCTTGCTTGAATATCACGAGGACAATATGCATAACGAAAACCAAATAATAAAGCATGTATGTGGTAATTCATAAGTAATTGGTAGAACGACATAGGATTATTAATGGCAACGGTTAAACCCTTGTGCCTTTTTTCAATTGATTTTTATTGAAACTATTTGTTTTTCTTCATCCAGTTTCAATTGTTTAATTTTCTTATTTATCTTTTGCTCCGATCTAACCTTCTCCTGGTATCTTCGTGTTCTGGAAGACTTTTCGCAAAATTAGGTCTCAACCTGGAGACTTCGAGTTGACATCCATGTTATAGTAGGACCTAATCTACAACTGGTAAGTAGGGAGTCGGAATTGAGCACACTCTCAGCGTTTCTCTGCGACGTCGAGGTCAAACTTTAAGATTATAGTGCTTCCAAGTGGGTAAGCTATTCTTTATATAAGTTAGGAACCGCAGTAACTTGAAATGGGACAACAACTTCTATTCCATAGGCTATGGATAGTGGAATTTCTCCAGTCACCTTGCGAATGGTAGTCTGCAATGCCGATAAAACTCCAAGCAGTTCTTCTGGCCGTTACTTTTCTTCTCCAATCTTTTCTTCAAGCATTGTAAGATAGTTTTGTTTGAAACTTTTGCCTGCCCATTACCTTAAGGATAACTTGGGGTAGAGGTGAGGTGACAGATGCTAAGCTCCTTGTACTAATCCGTAACTTCAAGATTGGTGATTGCAGCCCATTATTTGTAAGTATGGTATAGGAGATACCAAAACGATAAATGATGCTCTTCCAAACAAAGGATTTTACCGCTACCCCGGTGATCCCAGATAGAGATTCTACCTCAATCCAGTTGGAGAAGTAATATGTGGCCATTCTCACGGATTTTTTGTTTAGTTGTTTAATAA